TGTGGCTGTGTGTGTGTGTGTGTGTGCAAAAAAGTGTGTCTGAGAGAGAGAGTATATTTAGCGGTGTTATCGAGACAGGTGCTGGACAGGTCTTATTAGTGTCAGAGTCTGCTTAGCTGCTGCAGAATGATTGTAGGCTTGCGCTGCTATAAAAGCATAAATACTCACCAACCACTTCATTAGGTACACCTTGCCAGCACTGAATTGAACCCCTTTTAGCTTCAGAACTGCTTTAATTCTTTGTGGCGTGGATTCATGTTGAAATGGCAGCTTCACACAGTTGCTGCATATTTGTCGGCTGCACATCTGCGAAGTGACTCTCCTGTTCCACCACATCGCAAAGGTGCTCCATTGAATTGAGATCTGTTGACCGAGGTGGTCATTTGAGTACAGTGACCTGACTGTAGCATTAATGAAACGCGTCTGAGATGATTTGAGCTCTGTTTCAGAGGAGGGATACACTGTGGTCAGAAAGTGATGGATGTGGTCCACGAGAATACACAGGTAGGCTATAGTGTTCGCAGTGTTCCAGAAGAAATCAAGAGTCATTAGACCAGGTGACGTTTTCAGAGTCTCTCTTTTTGTAAACCCTGGAGATGATTGTGGAAAAATCTCAGTAGATCCGCAATTTCTGAAATACTCATAGCAGTCTGTCTGGCAGCAACAACTCTACCACATTTAAAGTCAAAATCACTTTTCTCCCCCCTTGAAGAGCTGTACTAATAAAGTGTCCAGTGAATGCATGTACAGTATATACATATTCACAGATAAAACTTCCACATATTTTGTTTTTTGAATAAAAGCCCAACAAATGAGGAGAAGATGAATACTATCAGTAATAATTGCCATGTAATAATAATAAAGTATTTGAATGTAATATTGTAGATTGTGATAGCTTCTCATTCACTAAATGGCTAACACTTCAAGATACCCAGCAATGTAATTCGCACGCTGATTAGTAAGTTCCTCTGTAGTCACTAGGCTTCCTTAAAAATTATGCCTTTTTAATTTTGCTGTGTGTCCCTATTTCTCAGCCTGGTTACAATACAAACAACACTGCCATCCTTTTCCAAGAAAAGTGCAGCTTCTCTGTGTTTGCTTCTGGGTACCAGACGCTTTCCAGTTTCTGTTTATACTCTGATTCTAGTCCGTCTTCTACTGACCGATAAGACAGTAAAAGTGTGATTACATAAAAAAAAAAAGCAGCCTTGAAACCATCAGCTAGCATCAACTTTTTAATTTAATTTAATTTTTATTTTGCCAACAATGACCAATAGACTGAACAGGAAGTATTGCAGGGGATATCAGGTATCATGGCTACCAGAAGCCCCCCCAAAAAGTGACCTTTGTCCTCAAAAGCCAATTCATCAGACAGGCTGATGGGTCGAGAGAGTGGCACACTGCTAACACTTAAAGATAGTCATCCGTCTGTGCTCATTATGCTCAATTAGCAAAATCATTAATGCAATAAGACAATTTTGATAATATCTCATGCTTTTCAGTCAGGTTGCAACACAAACACCTCTGCCATTCTTTCCTAGACACTGCAGCCTTTGTGTTTGACAAGTTTCCGCTAGGCGGTCATGAACTCCATGAACCTCGTGAACCTGGGGAATGCAAAGTAGGCAGAGTAAAATGTGAAGCTGAGAGAGGAAGAAGAGGAGGAAGTAGAAGAAGAAGGGGACGGGAACGGGAAGGATGAAAAAGAAGAAGACAAAGAAGAAAAAAAGAAGATGAAGAAGTCATCAGTGGATGAGAAAATGAGGAAAGTGTAAGAGTAAAGAGGGTGCATGGAGTCGATGGGGGACATGGATATAAGTCACAGCTCCAGTTGCTCAATTGTAGCCGTTGTGACCAAGGGCACGCTAATCTATCCCATTAACAGATCTCTCTGACTCTCTCATAATGTTACTGCTAGCTGCTCTCCTGTGACATGTTCCTGGTTTGTGTGTGCGTGTGTGTGTGTCTGTGAGAGACACACAGGAGGAGTTTGTGCATGTGTGTGTGCAGACACAGTGTGAATGAGACAATGCTTTCCCTATGTGTGTGTGTGTGTGTGTGTATAATGACAGTTCAGCTAGTTGCTCTCCTGTGAAAATGACACGTTCCTGCCAAATTAATATCATTACTATCAGAGTTTAATGGGCCAGTGCTGCCTTCTTATTTAAAACAGAACATCCCTCTCTCTCTACCTCCACCACAAGGGAAGGGGGTGGTTGGAGAATCGGTTAGAGGAAATGACTAACTGAACAAGACAGACAATAGGTCCAGATGATTTTTCTCTAAGCCACAGACGAAGGAGGTAGATGAAGGGAGGAGACTGAACTTAGTTTAAGGTTAATTCGAGTTTGACAGCAAGATAACTTAATATTTAGAGTCAGAATCAGGGAATATTCAAGTATTCTAATTCTCATTTTGATTCTAAGGATAAACAAACACGACAACACAGAACACTGTTACAGTAAGATTTGGGATTTCCGTGTTGTCGTACTGGATTTTAGGGATGACTGGAAAATTAGCTGCTGCTACTGGCTTGCATTGTCTTTTATTTGTTAGAGGGCAGTTGCCTTTTTTTGTTGAGGAGTATCTTGCCGGTGACTTGTGCGTTTTACAGTACAGTGTTGTAGTCTGTGGTTTTCATTTTCTTTTGCTGTGCTTTTAAGCAGGAGAGCGTACATTATAAGCAGTATCTGCTCAGGTGTCATTCTTCACTCAGAGTCAGCACTGTGATAATGAGTTGATGTGGAGGTCCACTCTGCAGGCTGCCTGTGAATGTAGACACATGCATGGTTGTGTTCACACACATGTGCGCATTTGCACAGTCAGTTTACACGTGAGTATGACTATTGCGAGCTACATTGCGCGTATGTGCGCGCGCGTTGGAGTGTGTGAATATGTCAGGTTGCCGCAGGAGACCAATTAGCCGGTGCATCAGTGGGAAGGTGAGCATACACACACCTGTGTGTGGCCCTGTTACACCAGCTCATCACACAATCACATTGGGACAGACAGCATTGCTCTGCTCGTAATAGAAGCATACTGACACTTACAGTACGTTGACCATATGGAATTATGGCTTCACTGTGTCAAACTGTCAGACGTGACTCGCTAGCACGCGTTATGCCAACTAACTTATTACCAACTTAACAAACTTGTGTGAATTACAGCTTATCTGGCTGGTTGTCTTTAGCTATATGTACTTTCTTACAGCTTATTTCTGCGCAGTTCCTCACATTAAAGTGCATCTGCATGCCTTGTCGCACTCATGTGCAGTAGGCGAGATCACAGAGGGATTGAGTCCAGAGTTGCAGGTATCATGCACTGATGCAATTAGGTGAGAGTGAAAAGGAAGATCACAGCCAATAAAGCAGCCAGGCCTCTTCATGTATAATTCAGATTTTTTATGGTGGGCAATGCACCCATATGGACATGCTAAAGGAAGACTAAGGCTATTTCGAGCCAGAGAAAAACCCCGTTAAAAGCTAATCCCTGCGCCAGAGTCCTACACCTTTTACTGCTCCTTTTTAATGAATAGGTGTCCAATAAGGCCTTTTATTGTCTTAGCATATGTTGCTTTTATTAGGGGAAAATAATTAGGTTGTGCGGATCACTTCGGAAGTCCTCTCACAAGATAAAAATGAGATAGTTTCACAGTCGCTGCGCAAGTCCTTCTGACTCCCCGTCGTTTTCCCCTTGGATGCATTGTGTCCTAGCTCCTTCATCTCCTCCTCCTGCTTCGTTTCCTACTCATACCGGTCTCTCCTTACTTCTTTATGCCCTCCCCTCCCCTCCTTGTCCTTTGCATTCCCTGCACTTCGTTTCTTACCTCCTCTTCTATTGTTCCCTTGAACATGGGAGCATTAAATGTATGCAGCGGTGTCGCGTTGGACTGCACATTTACACAAGCATATAACAGTCGAACAATCACTGTGTGACAGGAGGCTGTTGATGACTGACACTTGGTTGATCTTATCTGGCGCAAAAGGGGTAAAGGGAGGGCCGTGGAGAAAAAGGAGAGAGAACTAGTGCAGAGGCATTGGGGGGTTTTGCTGCGCTTTGTGTTGTGTTCTGTCACTCCTGCAGTTTACCCCTCTGCTCCTTTTTCTGTTTGCCTTCACATGCTTCACTGTATTACAGAAAGAAAGACCGTTGACAGTGCTCATCTGTGATTCAGGGCTCCAGGGAAAGAGATCCTTTTACCTCCAAGAGGTCCTACTATGACCATTTACCCGTGAGGCCTCAGTTACAGTCGGTCTGCACGCCTTCAGTGAGTTATGGGGATGGAGGAGGATGAAGTTGCAGGGGAATAAGGATCTACACACGGTTGATGGAGAAGATAGGGCTGAGAAAGAAGCAGGGGGTAAGGCAGATAGACACAGAGAATGAGGAGGTAGGATAAAGGAAGGGAATGTGAAGCAGGGAGGAGGGAAGCCGGTCCCTCCATCCTATCCTTAATGCCCCTCAGGAGAGCACGATGCCTGTAGGTGAGTATTAGCCATCAGCCTGTGCGCTAATGGACATTATGAAATAGCATTTAGTGCATACAGATGACCAGAAGTACACTAGTCACTGGAAAGAACCATGATGCGAAGATCTGATCTTCTCTGGGGATCTAACCAGGCTCTCAGTTTATACATAATAGAGTTTTCTTTATGTTTTTTTTTTAAAGAACAGAGCACTTAGACTTTTGGTTATCTAACGTTACCTCAGTCAGGGTGACGGAGGCCACCTCGGATTCATGGTTGTGAGTGTCAGGGTGCTTTCTGAAGTGTGCGCTGGGGTGTTTTAGGTGCTAATCTCTTCTCATCTTGGTTGAGTGCTCAAGCTGAATAGAAGGGCAGCTTGTTTATCTGTGGGGACCGCATTACCCAGGATTCCCTCTACAGCTGGGCCGGGCACGCTCAGCTGAGCTGTCAGCTCGCAGAGGTTACTACAGCTGAGGGCAAAGATGGCTCTGAACGCACACCGTCGTACACGCATAAACTGCACAAAAACCAAGCTTTGATTTCAATGGTTATTTATTAAATGTAAAATATCTTTAGCACAGATTAAAAATCAGACACCTCCATCTATTTTAAACATCACAGGTTCAGGGTGGAAAAAAAAAGAAAAAACATTCCTGGAACAGAATCACAATCAGTTTGGAGTCCCACTTTTCAGGATAGTTACTCCACGAGGCGTGGCAGAGGGCTGAGGCAAAAACTGCACTCCTCCTCTTTACTAAGACTACAAGCCAGGAAATACTTTTCCAATTGAGTGCCGTAGCCTTATGACACTGGATGGTTAAAAACGACTTTTCTCAAAGTACTTGTCTTTAGAATCCAGATGTTTTACTAGTTACAAATGAGGACAGAAAACATGTCAGTTTTCCTAAAATGGGACTGTCTAAAATGGGCTAAAAACAGTAGGTTCTCCAGATTATTAAACTTAGAAAAACACCCAATTTGTACCTTTGCACATATATAGAGGGCCTTCACACTGCAAACACTGATTTACAGTATGCTGTACAGTATGAGTGCTTCGGGCCAGGCACAAACTTTTTAAATTGTGTCCCAGGCGCAAAGCGCTTTGCCAAAACTTAGCACTGCTGCTGAATTGGAGTGCCATCACAGAGGTCAGCTGGTGAACACTCCCCCTCTCTTTTATTCTCTGCCTCAACCCTCGCTGCTGTACAAATGCCAACTGACAACAACTGACACAGATGGTGAGCAGAAACACAGGACAGGCAAAGGGAGAGAACCACCCACAGGAGTAAGAAAACAGGAAGACTCTACACACACTGTCCAAGAGAGGATATTGCCTGACAATATTACCAACGCATTTATTTTAAACTTTTTTTTTTTCATTTGAATCTTTTACTTTTTCTACTTTTTTATATTATTTTTTTTATAGCACATGCCATATGAGAATTTGGGGATTATAAAAGTACCTGAAAGAATTGCTAGGTGTTCAGCATGCATAGCCATTAGTATTTACAGGTTTGTATGTACAGGGATGGGCCAAAAACAGACTGCTCTACAGTACTGGGTTATTTACATCCAGGTCAGAGGGAGAGGTCAATGACGTAACTACAGATGTGGGGGTCAAAGGGTCACATGCACAGGGTCGGAGAAAGCTTATACAACTCGGACGATGAAGACACAAAACAGAACACGGCAAAGTAACAATACTGTTAATTCAACATCACATCTCCCCCACGTACCCTTTTTGCTTTTGATACGCTCAGTAAGATGTTCTCAACAACGGGTTATTGCGTAACACTATACAAGGACATTTCTATTGCAAGTCCATGAGGTCCTTGGGTATTGAGTCAATGCTGAGATTGGAAGACTTGGATCTGGTCCCAGAGCAGTTCCAGAACCGTAGTGTTGAATCCCAGGCTAAGTACAGGCTTATTGCCACTTATCAGCAGTCAGCTTATTGCAGGGTGTTTTGTAAGTCTTTCCTCAGTATTTATGTTTATTTTTATTACCCACAAAGGAAGATCTACACACACGTAATCTATAAAACCCGCTTCTGCACTTGGCATTGGTTTATCATATTGCTGAGATCTTTGCATTTTATTTTTAGCATAGAGAAAAAAATTTCGGTTTGGAGTTGTTTTGGTTGGTTTGGATCCTCCTTGTCTGTCCCCTTCCTCTCTCCCTCCCTCCCTCCTAGAATCAGTGTGGTGGTAACAGAGCTAGTTTTGTTTTGGGGAATGTGAAAGTGAAGTCTGAAGTCATCCAAAGAAGTCATGCTTAAGTCTAAAGTGGAATTGCAAGATGGTCGTCTAAAGGATTTAAAGAGTTTCCCTCTCAAAGCATTTAAAGTTAGATTTGTAACTGCATTCCTATACTTGTCTCACTTTTTATTTTTTGGGCTAAAATGCCTGAAGAGGCCAATTCCGAAAGAGTATCCATATTTTTGGAGCTTAAGTCAGTGTCAAGTCAGTTTCTCTGGGCAGACGTCGTAGCTCTGGGTACCATAGATGTCTCTGATAATAAAACTACTGTAGTCAAGGTAATGCTTCACATTAAGGTGCACAGTATAGAAATACACTAACCCATCATTTTGTAGACAGCTTAATTTACAGACTTAATCTACAGTTGAACTTGGATTAGAAATCATCTTTGGACGGCACAGATGTGTTCGATGCACACTGGTTTGGTGGCATTACCTTCCGTGCGGGTTGTTCATATGTGTATCTGTTCGTGCTTGTGCGCAGATACGCTCTTGTGTTCAGGCAGCGTGTAACTGTAAGTGTAGCGAAATCCTTGCCCGCCACCTACTTGCCTGGTATCTGCAAACACACACACACGTGCGCGCACACACACAGTGATAAATGGCTGTGGTGGGTGGTTGAGCATGTTAATGCCTAATCTCATCAGCCTTATCTTTTACAGAGGTCACAAGGTCAAGTGGTGAGGGGGATGAGCTAAACACCAATAAGATAGCACATTGCTGGGCACACCGCACAAACAGCCCGTGTACTGCTCCGTTTGTCACTAACTGCATGCGTGGCAGCCAGCAGAGAAGCTTTTTCTAAAGACTAGAAATGCCTTTCAGATTTCAGCCACATAAATCTGGATTCTGAACATGAAAGTTGTTGTTTTTTTTTTATATCAATATTTAAACCCAACTGTCTGGTAATTGGACGCAAACAAACTTGTCTGAAAGTCAGCCGAGTTCAAGGTGGTGTCAGGGTGTCAGAGCCGGCGGCGCTGAAATCTTCAGTGAAGTTTAAAAGGCATTTGGCTTTCAGGCGAGCTAAATCAGATGCCCTAAGTGAGAGAGATGAGTTGAACTGAGTGCGTGTGAACCTGCAACTCAGAGACACTGCTTGGCATTTGTCGGTCTTTGATATGGCGACATGTGATGTGGATGAAGTTATCGCCTCGCTGGCAGGTGAGACAGACAGCGGCGCACAGAGAGATGCTGCCTTTTTCATCTGCTGTTTACGAGCTCTCTCATCACGGAGCACTTCAAACACGCTCAATCTGCTTCTGCGACGTTACACACCAGGGCTCCTCCTGGTGGAACTTTACTCAGAGCTTAGAGGGAGTTGTGTGTGGGTGCCCGTTTTGGTTTGCGTGTGTCGATGAGAGACACATTTCCTGGAATCTGCTTTATGTGTGTGTGTGTTTTTGTGTTCGTAGCATTTGCATTTTGGTGCATATTTTTGTACTAGGCTGTGAAAGCATAAATGCTTTAGATGACATAGGATCTTGCCACTTTTAGTGTGCTGGCCTGTGCTTTGGGAATCTGTTCAAACAGTTGGCCTGTAATGTGCCTCCATTACGCCTGTGTGTACGTTTGTGTGTGTTGCCCGCGTTTGACTACTGCATATACGTGGTTGTCTCAGTGTGTGCCAGTGCTCTGTGCTAAACACTAGCCTTCAGTCATCACATCAGTGTTCCCTCTCATTCTTTCTGCCCCCACCCCCGTCTCACTCTCGCTCCCTCACATCAGGAGATAAAGAGGCGAGCCATTTCATGTGGCCGCATAGAAGTCGTCTCCAGCCCTGGAGTTCGCAGGGAAGCTGTCACAGCAGCTTTTAGCCGGAGCTGCAGCATGAAAGATCCCTCTTTGAGCGGTCGGGTTATGTGTGTAATTCTCTCTGACGTGTTTATTCTGCCGCAGTTTCAGCTTTCATTTTCAAATGTCACCGAAATCTCTCTCCGTGAATATCCCTGCTAATTACTGACTGATGGGATGGGGTGTATTAGAGAACTTAGCAGGTTGCGTAAAAATACTGTTTCACTTTTACAGCGCGTCTCGGCTTGAGACGACGTGTAGCAGAGTGAGTTTTCCGGGCTGAGTGATCTTCAGGTTTTAAACTTGCCTTGAGAGGAGAATTACTGAGAAAGAACTGGAGGGAAAACCGCGCGACGTGTTTGTGTGTTGTACGCAACAACCAAAAAACTTTTGATTTAAATACTTAGTTGTACTTGTATTTTCCAGCACTTGAATATTAATAAACATCACGTGAAAAATATACATATTGATAATCATGGCATTGAAACCTGCTGTTCACACATCGCACGTCAGAGCTGTAGTTTCCCTGGCGACTCCCATCCAGACAGGAGCTGGTGTAATATTTTTGTTCCCGCCTTATCCACTGTGAGTCTATACATCTGTAGCATTCACACGGTCCCACATAGCGAGATGTCCTATACACACCTGGCAGAGAAATAAATAAATAAATATATGTATATAAATATATATACAGTAAGGAGTTATATGACCCAGTCATCGGGATGCAGGGAGAGGGGAGAGACAGCGTGTGCGCGAGTCTTTTTTTTCCCCCCCTGTAGACACAGTCCTGCTGTCTCTTTTTGTCTGTGTGTGTATGCGTGTGTCTGTCTATGTGTGTGTGGGTCTCACAGAGGACAAAGGAATGTGGTCAGAGTCCGCTTTATGTCCTCTGTCTTTTCCTCCATACAGCACACATCCTAAAGTCTGCGTGTCGTTAGACGAGTTCTCCATATTTTGTCTGCTCCTGCAGGCCGACGCCGCCTTGCTGTCTCAGCGTCGCGATTCGTCCACTGATTCATCTTCTTCTTTTTGTGTTTTTTTTTTTTTTTGTCTGTCCACAGCAACAAGGGGCGGCCACCACAGTGTACTGTGCGGTAGCACCGGAGCTGGAAGGGCTGGGCGGCATGTACTTCAACAACTGCTTCCGCTGCCAGACATCCGCCCAGGCCCAGGATCCGAGCAGTGCTGCCAGCCTGTGGGAGCTGAGCGAGCGCCTGGTCGCAGAGAGGTCAGTGGGCATACAGGCCCTCTAATGGACAGAAGACGAAGAGGAAGAGGAGGGCAACTAGCCAAAGAGGAATCAGAAAGGAAACAGCTGATGTTTCGTTAGGTGTGGACTAACTGTAAGAGCTGCCAAACCATGGAAGCCCATCTGGATATGTCACATCACTACAGCGTCTAAAACACTAAATATACAGCACAGGAGGGGATTTCATATACAATCTATTGAATTAGTTAAAGTTTAAGTGAAGTTAAGCTCTGCTGTAGTATTTTAAAACCGGGAGTGGGGGAAAGGTGAAGATCTGAGCCGAACCTGTCAGTTTGTTCTTTGTCTGTGTGTCTCTGTAACCTTTTTAAGCTCTAAAGTCCTTTTTTTCTCAAACGTCTACTTAAATTAGATGTAAACAAAATGCAAACGACCTGTTTTGATAACAATACAAGGTTTAACTAGTAAGCATACACTCTACGGCATATGCATCTGATTCCAGCAATAGTGGGCTATCAGCAAATATAATGTCTTCCCAATTAATGTCTCTAAGTTCAGTATCCTCTTGTCTAGTTCTATGTTGGTGTTTATGTTTCCTATTCTGATACAGAGCGTTTGCTAATCGTTGTGCTAAATCTTTTTGGGCAAGAAGAAATAAATAGTAATGGGCATGTGAAACTTATTGAATTACAAACACAGTAGAGGTGTGATTCTAATGGCTATGTACACAATTTTGCAATAATTATATTTCTTATCAACGTCCCTATTTGTTTTCTGTACAGTATTTACAACATCCTGATTTCTGGCCATGTGCTAAAGGGTGGGGGGGTGGACATCATATTTTTTTCTGCTATTTTACTCAACCTAAGTATTGACAATCTATGCTCTGGTAAGTTACAATTTGGAGATATTTACGGGTTAATCTTTGTCCATTTGAATGACAAATACAGAAGGTGGAGAATTTTATTTACAGAGTCCAGGATCTTTAATTTCTTCAGTTCTCCTTTTTTTTTGTTTTGTTTTTAAATCATCCGCTTTAGTATTGAACTCCGGCTTTGGATTTGCTGTGGATTGGTTGCCCTGAAGCCACAGGGGGTGGGACGCTTTTGAGACATTGTGCTTTATGGCAGTCCGGATGCCGTAGGTTGGTCTTGAAACAGCATTCCAGTGTCATGATATCTGCAAAAAAACACACAAAGAGAGAACAAGTCAATAAAAATCTGTTGTACAGAAATATGTGAATTTCTTCTATAGAAGTCCATTCATCTGAAGACCATTAGGGGGATATTTGTGTGGGAAGCTGAGAAGTAAGCAACAAGTCTAAGTACGACAGTTTCCAGTTTTCCAGAATGTACTAACCAGGTATGAACATCACAGAGTAAAAAGCTGTTTTTACAGTATTTGTATAAAGTATATATATATATATATATATATATAGTAGTTGTATAAAGCGCTTTGAGTGCTCAGAAAGAGTAGAAAAGCGCTATATAAGAACCAGTCCATTTACCATATTTTTTCCCCTCTGACAGAACAGGAAATGCACTCATCATGTATTCAAAGAACAGATCAATCGACACAATCATCAGAATGACACAGCATCACAGTTATACTTAATATAATTTACTCTCACACATTGTTCACGTATTGTTTCTTTTCTTCCCTTCCTGGCAGACATACTGAAGAGAAGAAAAAAACCCCAGGAACAGACAGAACATTCAGAAACATGCTGTGCCCTGCACAGAAACTGATACTGCTGTTATAATCTGTTCTGTACCCAGAGTACAGGTGTCTTATCGCTGTCCTTTCACAGCACTGCACACACCTGGAACAGAGATGCAGTACAAACACTCACATGCACGCACACACAGAGCAGGAACAGTCAGCAACCCGCATGTACAGTACAGCAAGCAAAACAACATTTTATTAAACTGTCCAGAATCTTTTTGCCTCTTTATTTTGCATCAGATTGAACAAATGGTATAAATAACGTGTGTTTTAAAATTGTTTTAGTGTCTGAAAAAACTAAAAATACAGAAATCTGTCATACACAGACGAGGAGTTGAACAGTAATAAAGGATGTTCCCAGCTGCTGTCCATGGTGCTGATAAGGCTCAGGCCCTTTCATGGCCATACTTTGGCAAACATGAGAATTCGCCTACTTGTCAATCAGTTACAGAGCATTTTGTGTATGTGCTGACATGAGCCTCTGTGAGAGACGTTTTCCTCTTCCCGAGTGTGTGACTGATCAAGTCGTGAGCAGACGTACTCGCCAGTGTGTTAAGCACGTCAGCTGTTTAGTTTCCCTCTGTGTTTTATTTTGATTTAGTTGGTCTGTCCTGATGTGTTCCGTTGTTTTGTCTTTGTTGACTTCATATGTGGTTTATTAAAATTGTTTGGGGTTTTTTTTGCTCTATTGCGTCTCTAAAAATTAAGTCTCACTTCTTGTTCTCACACTTCACCTCTACTGAAATATAATCTTATTCAAAGGGATTCTGACTTGTTCAAATAGTTATGTTATTGTAGGCTCTTATAGCCTCCTGAAATGATCTTAAAGAGTGTAATTCTAAACCTGGGACTTCTGTAATGTTAGCCCGCTTTCCCCAACCTCTCTGCTGGAGGAGAAACTCAGAATAAAATAACCATAATGCTGTTTATGACTATATATCAAGAAACTGGTGCTAATGATGAAGGCTGTGTGCTGGAAACACATCAGTTTGACTGATACATCTCAGAAGTGCTGCAAATTTTATATTATCACAGTCTGACACCAGCTAAAGCACTTTATACATGTGCGATCATGTAACGTAGACCATTTGCGGCCTACAGATATCGCCGCTCTCGACTAAAAGTGCAGGCTTAGTCTATCAGTCGCAATTCTATGTAAGCTGAGCATATGAGAAAGCCTTTGACAGAAGGGCCAGATTCAGAACTCAAAGGAGAATCTTCAGGAGAATTACAAACAACTAGACTTGTATGCGGGTGTGCACTGCTGTGGCAGATCAGTGGGTGTGTGCCTGAGTGAAGTGGGAGGGTCCTGCCTGGCTTTCATGCAAAGTCTTATCGATCAGGCCCTATCGGAATCATCTGATAGCTAATCAATATGCTACACTTCCTCTCAGCGAGCAGAGAAGAAGGAGAAGCACGACTCTCGCAAGAGGAGGACCTTGATCCTTTGACCCGACAGTTAAGGCTCGACACACACAGACGCACGCACACACAGTCACAGTCTGTTTCCCTTCATTTCTTGGTCTCTTTATTCCAATTCTTAGAATAACGACACCCAACAATGTAATAACTGAAAGCCCGTGTAAAGCAAATAACCGATATACATTAGAATGTTATTTTAATTAGTCGGATTTACAGTTGAGTTTTTTTTCCCCCTTCACCGAGTTCATTTCAATTTGGGCAGTAATTGTTTACGACTGATCATTTCATTTTCCATTATTGTTTTTATTTCTTCTTGTGATTAATTTCACCTCTCAAAGAATAATTATGAGAGGATTGATTTGATTATGCCTTTGTTCTGCTCCTATTGGCTCCATCGACCGAAGGAATGCCATGTTGCCATTTCGAGCGGATATATTTAATGATCACAATCAATGTTAAAGCTCTCTCTAGACTCAACTAACCCAATAAATATCTGCCAGGAGGAAATTTACCATCTAACTACAGCAGGCAATAAAGTCTTACTCTGTGTTATCCTCCCTCCCCACTGCTCTCTTTTAATCTCTCTCTTTTGAGGATGGCATTAGGATGAAAACTGATGATCAGTTTTCATAAAGTACCACAGCAGAGTCAATGGAAATATGATTTTCTTTCAATATCTCACGATTTGGATTGCTTGCAGGCTGCTTTTTTGATAGAGTCTTAAATTATATATATTTTAAAATTAAAAGATTATTTCCCCAGGCTCCTTTCCACTTAATTAGCCCACTTTAATATAAGAATTTGCCTGTCAAAATGTTTTTTATGTCTTGTTTGCAGATTCTTAAAGAAATACTTTCATTCTGTTGCAGTATTACAAAAACAGACATTTTTTCCCCAGTTTCTCCATGCCATTACTGTACCATTGATTTCTGAGATGTAATGAATAAAAAGCAGTAAAATAGACTTATTTTTGGGCACATTATTATTATTATTAAAATAATGCATTGTAAAGATCATGCAACTGCCACATATGGCAGGAAGTGGAGCATTTTAAGGTGAGTTCTCTTTTAAATGATTAAAAAAAATATGTGTAATATGCATGCAAATGTAGATGTTTTTAATCCATGGCAATGCTTCAGTTTATCATTTATTCTTCCATGAAGACTCATAGTCATGGTAACATTTGAATCCAAGTTTACTGAGCTTGTTCACTATCAAATGCACTTATTTTCCCCTGTAGATCTGCTCGTGCAATCTATAACTTTCTGTTTTTTATTGAAGTCTCAACACGGCACCTTTGAGGAAATCCTTCCACTCCCAAATCCCCAGCGAGTCCTCACCGCTAGACAGCATGACCTTGTAAACCCTGAGTTATTTTACTCACCCATTGTGTGAGGATAGGAAGAAAAGGGAAAGAGAAAAGGGGAGACAAGGGACAGGGGGGTGGAGGGGAAAAAAAAAAAAGAGCTCCTGCCTGTCACAGCTTTCAAACACAAAGAAAAATGAGCACTTGGGCTGAAGTACAATTATTAGCCCCTGTCTACAGATTCATCACACTATAGAGAGCCAGGGAGTGGGAAGGAGATAGAGGGAGGAGCAGAGCAAGAGGTGGAGTGGAGAAAGGTAGAAAGGTAGAAAAAGAAATGTGTAGCTTTCAGCGGAGCCGTGCGGAAGACGGAAAGACAATGAGGAGAAAAGAGGGAGGAAATAGAAAATAGGGCTGTTATGCTGTGAGGGAAAACTTGCGAGGGAGCCAGGAGAGGTGCAAGGTGAAGCATGCAAAGCTAGCGTATGCAGGGCTGGAAGGAAAGAGAGGGAGGAGGTTTTAGGTGAAATAAAAGAGTGAGAGGAAAAGAACAAGGCAGAGGCAGAGGTAGAGGAAGGTAAAATGAAATAAGAGGATTTGTCAGGCCAGTGGTTGGTGGCAGTAATAAAGCCTGCTAATCTGAGGGAGAACGCTTGACTGCTCACACACTGACTCTCTTGACGCCCCACTTTACCACCGGGCCAAGCCAAGGTCACACACACGCACACACACGATCATGCCATTGCAAACACACACACACTTGCAGAGACACTGTGCATGTTTCTTAGATCTTTCTTTTTGTGAATCAAATTCGCGAGCGCTTTCCACCTGAGCGTCTTCCTCTGAAGGTTTCGCTGGCACGACTTTCCTCGCTTTACTTTTGACATGATTTTTTCTCTCTCTCGCTCATGTCACTCATCTTCTTGTTTAGCTATCATCTCCACCAAACACCCCCCTCGGCCATGTTGATTTTAAAATCTCGTTTTTCTCTATTTCTTAACTGGCTCCGCCGTGTGGATCAATACCTATCAAAACCATTACATAAATACATCTGTCACGAGCAGATAGTTGAGTGGGGATGTAATGTGTCTGGTTAAGGCCGCCATGGGGTGAAAAAAGATATGCTTTGTGTGTGTGTGTGTGTGTTTGTGTGTGCGCATTCTCAAAGGACAGCATGTGTCATTTTGTGTGACCAGGTGTGTCGGGCAGACAGAAAGGTTGTTATTGAGCCGCGGTAAATGACGCATAACCTGGTGTACTGCTTACTTAGCCCCAGACCCCTGCTTTATGTCACTTTTTTCTCACTTGCTGTGTGTGCCTGTTGTTGGTGTACAGTCGTGGGAATATGACTGAAGCACCTCAACAGTGCAAAATATTTTTGGAAACCCAAATGGGAAAGAAAATACATTAGGTTTGTTCAAGTTGCTGGGAGCCGGTTAACTATTCTTACAACTTTTAGTTTATTTTAAAAAAAAAAGAAAAGAAAAAAAATATGTTGTTTTATTATAAAGTTTTCTTTAGCAGTCTTCTAAATGGTAACATTTCTCACACATGCCGAAAAACAGTCTGAATTCAGAAACTATCTGATCCAAGGACTAATGCGTGCAATAGGTCGGGAGCCTTATGAAATTTCCCCTTGTGGGACTAATAAAGGTATATCAAATCAAATTAAATCAAAACAATATTACAGACTTCCACCAATAATACCTTCATATCTCCTTGTAGCTAAATACATGTAATGCACTATAGTGGTGGGCATGATAACCCTGAAAGCGGAGCTCAACAACGCGTCAAAAATACCAAAAGCACCAAAATACCAAAAGACAAAAAGTGCGACAGTCTGTATATAAAAGATGGTCACAGTCACTGTGATGTCACTCATTGATTTGTGAACAGCCGAGCTTATATATTTTTTTCTTTATGTGGTCAGTCTTAGAGGAGCCCCACCCTAAAGCATACCCCACTTCATATAATGTGTTTTACTCAACGTATGACCATAATTTGCAAAATGAACATCATACTGTAATCAACAAACTTTAAAACTAATAATTAGTCTATACAACTTTTGGAAGTTACTGATTTTTTTTTTTGCATTATTCATTGCTGTTAGGAATGGTTTATTGTTATTATTAGCTCATTTACTATTGCATATTTAACTGTGGAACAGGCTTTTAGCCAACTTTTACTTTTTTAGCTACTCTTAGGAACCGCATAATTTACTTGATTTGTTTACTAGTTACCCATTAAATAAGCACAGGGATCATTTAAAAATATCATATCTTTCAATAGCTCTTAAAGACAAGCGAGACAATCGGGCAGTGCAAACTGCCTTAGGCTGTGGTATACTGCCTGGTTCATGTAACAGACTTGTCCCTATAAAAAAACTACTTAAACTAAACCAATATATGAATCATGGCATTAAAGCTAAGAAAAACATATATGTACATAACCTCAACACCACCAAAACAGCCATAGTAACAAGCATGTCTCAGCTATTGTTATATCATTTGTTTGTTGCCCCCTTGAAGCATTGCCATCACAGTCTGTGCTGTTTACAGCTGGTCGGTGTGTTTCTGTATTTTGTAGCGTTTTTTTTTTTTTGCATGCATGCATTTTTACAAGTTTCATTGTGATGTACTAATAATGGCCAACAGAAGGACAAAGACACTGGAAGCCAGTTTGTATCCAGCATAGAAAACTCTTATCGTTCTTTGAAACATAAAAATGAATTCGTTTTTGAGCACTAGTCATTCAGATGTTTCCTTCTTCATCCTTTGGGGTTGTCATTGTCATTTTCACACATCACTCTGCTGACAGCCGGCTCTGTGATTGATGGAACGATGCAGATTTACATGTCATGCTGAAATAGCACAATAACCTGCACGCAGATAATCACCTCATTGAGAATCACTCTGGCCTCTCTCCACTCACAATTACTATTGTGTATTTGATCATATAACCACTCTCCAACAATGCACTTAATGGGCTTATTGGCAGCAGACCAGCAGTTGCTTGTAAATAATCTTGATGGTGTTTGATTCTAATAAATTAGGCTCATATATGCAAACACGGTAAAATCATAACAATATCCAAATGTGTGTAGGCAGAGGTGGGGTGGTGACAGGGGGAGATTTATGC